GGGCGCCCGGGGCAAGCTGTTGATTTTGCGCCCCCCCCCCCCCCCCCCACACACACACTATTTATAGTTATTCGAGGCTGGGGCCACTTTTTTTTTTAACCAGACACTGTACTTAATTAAACAGTTTTTGTTTTAGTGTCACAACATTGATGTGGAAAACAGTTACATCAGTTTTCAAAGCTAAGTAGGAGACTGTATAATTAAGTAATGCAGCTCAGAGTTGGCTTTTATTTTTTTTAATATCTATCTCGTTTGGCGCCCCCTAGGGTCGACGCCTGGGGCGAGCACCCCACCGCATTCCCCTAGCTACGCCACTGGCTCCTTTGAGGGAATGTTTTAACCAATGGTGGCTCATCCCGACCAGTCGGCCATGTTCTCGGCTCTTCCTGATAAGCGAGGTTAAATCAACAGCCATAGACACATTTTTGTCCGCCCCGACCGTCAATCCAAGCCGGATCCACTAACAGGCTGGGCCGTACAGTTTGAACGCTCCAGGAATGTACTTTGTATAGCCAGGCACGAGCCAGACACTGGCCCCAGCCCACCCCACTCAGGGAAAAATTATATGGGGCACCTGACAAACTGGAGACCACAGTCCGGTTTGTCCACGAAGTTGGACTTGTTGTCTGAATCCTCCACCATATTCAAAATTAAGAACGAAGAAGAAGAAGAACGCTCCATGGAACTCGACAAACATGCAGGCTCTCATCACGGGGCACAGCAGTTAAAAAACTAAACTATAGTACAACTTCAGATGACTCGGCCAACATCCCATCCTTAATCATACAACCCGGCAACTAAAAAACTAAACTACAACTTCAGATACCTAGACAAACATCCCAGTTCTCATCATACAACCCAGCAGTTAAAAAACTAAACTACAGTACAACTTCAGATGACTCGGCCAAAATCCCATCCCTCATCATACAACCCGGCAACTAAAAAACTAAACTACAACTTCAGATACCTAGACAAACATCCCAGTTCTTATCATACAACCCAGCAGTTAAAAAACTAAACTACAGTACAACTTCAGATGACTCGGCCAAAATCCCATCCCTCATCATACAACCCGGCAACTAAAAAACTAAACTACAACTTCAGATACCTAGACAAACATGCAAACTCTCATCACGGAACCCAGCAGTTAAAAAACTGAACTACAACTTCAGATACCTAGGCAAACATCCCAGTTCTCATCATACAACCTAGCAGTTAAAAAACTAAACTACAACTGATGAGGACAAAACATTTGTTCTACAAACTGTTAAACAATGGACCAAACAGAGAAACACTAGACAAGCAATACAATCAGGCTTCAAGTAGCTGTTTGGAGTATCGGCGTTACAAGTGTCTGAAAATAGACTCTTCTGAAAATAGGTGTGTTAGGTTGTTAGCTGTAGGCCCTATTGTGATGTGAAGTTTTAGAGTCAGAAATTAGGGTTGGTCCACGTCAGGACTAGGGGAGTATGACATTACCAATGTCTGATAGACTCTTCCAAAAATAGGTGGGTTAGGTTGTTAGAATTATTATAATCCCAAGCTTAGTTTTATGTTTAGAAATAAGGGTTAGGGTTGTGGTAGGAATTCAGATACGGTTTGGGGTAGGGATAGAGTTAGCTTTGACATTAGCAAGTTTTATATGTATTTGATTAACTACAACTAATCTAACACCCCTGTTGTAAGAAGATTCCATTATTGCGGCATTATCGCGACACTGGAACACCACATATCTCAGCAAATGTAAACACTCGGTGTTGTTTTAACATCCTAACGAGAACAAGCATATAAAATAAGTTACTATAAAGACAGCAGTAAATCAAGCAGAGAAACAAACAGACATATTTCAAACGCCAGCCGGGCACATTTCATACGCCATCCTGGCCACATTTCATACGCCATTCTGGCCACCCCACAACCCAGCCGGCCTTGACTCTCGACCTTGGCCCAGTGTTCTACATCGTGACGCCCTACTGACAGACAAGTGTAATTACCGTAGACGTTAATTGTTTATTAATTTTTTTCTTTCAATCCGGCCGTGCCTGCTGCTGTTGTTGTTTGGCGTCGTAGCGTCGCTAAGCCGGAGCACAACGTACGGCTCTTGATATTGTTTATTGCAAGCACGCACGACGGAAAGATAATTTACTCGCTCGTTTGTATGGGTAAGGATTATGGCTAAGACAAACTCATAAGCGGCCGGCATCAAGAAAAAAAAACATTAAAAATTAAAGGAGAGCTGTTTATATTTTGCGCGTTGGAGATACGCACAAGCTTTCAACGAAAATAATTAAAACTGATCTAATATACAATATTCATGCTTGTTCGAAATTCTGTATGGATATTGAAAAAAATGTAAGAAGATAACAGGTTAACTTTACTACACCGGACCGTGAATCAAAACGATGTACGGTATTTTGAACGTTTGCGACGACTACATGACAGAAAATAGGGTAGCTTTACTTGCACTGATCAGAAAAAAATTCAGTGGTGCTAAAGACCTTACCTTAGATACGGTCAGCTCTGTTTAGTGACTCCTAGGGCGGACGCTTGGTTTATTGATAAGAACAGAAAACGCGCGCGTGCAACATAGCTTGTACGGGACAGCTACACAGCTCAGCTAAGTGATGATGCAATCAGATCTGAACACACCTCGCGTACACGTTTTTTCTTAAAACCAAAGTAAGGGTATGTGTGGGATAATGCCACCATAATGGAACATTCTTTAAAAAAGGGGTGTTTGGTTACCGATAGTAAACACATACGAATACAACTTGATAAAAAGAACACAAACCCTAACCCTGTAACACAAACCCTAATCAAACACCTGGCATTACCCCTAACCCTAATTTCTCAACCTAATACTAAACCGGATATTAAAATACTCCCTACAACCTAGCACACCTAATTTAAGTTGAGTCTATTGTCGGATAGCATAATTACGCCCTAGTTATAGACGGGCTGTTTATAAAATGAACCCACTAATTTGACGGCCTTACAGCACTCGCATTAAATGACGCAATATATGTCAGTGTATTTCGTGGTAAACCTCACGGAGGACATGGGGAGATAGGGGCGTGGCCATGCTAATTAGTTCACCTTTGAACCACCAACATGTGAAACGAGCTGAAATGAGAGCAGTCTATCACGCAACATCCGGTGACCAAAAAAAAAAGTGCGCACTTATTACGCAGCGGAGTAATCATCTGCTCATCCCCCTGACCTTGAAGAGTTGCCCCACTTTTCGCGCTACCCCGAGAATGAGGAATGAGGTAGTTACTTTTTGTGTGGATTATTTTAATGACCCTCGCGAAGGACGCTGGGGGTTTTGGAAAATTAAGCCCATTGGTTTATAATTGTTTTTAAAACGCTGAGAGGGAGGGGGAAACATTAGCAGTCTATAGTTTAAATAAGGTGTTAAAAACATTGTCAGGTAATTAACTACATAACTTCCTGGTCACTAAAATTGCAATCGCCGATGACGGAAGCCCCCCCCCCCCACCCCCAACATAAAAATGTGTCTGGCACAGCCCTCTAAACCTAGTCCCAAATCTGACCGGGTAGAGCATAAAGAATGGCGTGGTTAGTGCGAGGCCATACAGCGTATCTAGCACAATCAATTTTTAGAGTAAAGTGCATCAGATCAATCACTTTGTGTATGTATGCGTGTGTTTTTATTTTCGGACAAACCAAGAGCAGGTCCACACAAGGCCGCTATCATCCCAGTTACATTACTGACCTGGCCTAAAAAATCCTTGACTCCTCCCTACATCCCAAAACCTACCCCCCCCCCCCCTTTTTTTCCGAGGGTTAGAATGAGCCATTTCTATAGTTTTTATAAATAGACACGAGAATCCGAAAAGTAAAACCGTACTCTAGCCGCAATCCTCAACTAGTCCCAAACCTAGCTTTAATCTGTACCTATCAATATGAAAAAATAAAAAAGTTTCTTAGACAGACAGACAGACAGACACACACACAGAGACACACACAGGCGTACAGGCGTAACAACGAACATGAGTAAATTGGAAGACGAGTGGTGGATGATTGTGTTTAGCTGTCTACCCAATAATACACGAGTCACTCCTATCTGCTCGCCACAAGAGTACATTCCCCTGAATGCCTCATAAACTGTCTTTTTTTCCCACCAGTTTTTTTAAAGCTGATATATACAGTTTTCATTAGAAGGAAGATGATCCCCCCCCCATTCAATGGCGTAGACAGGAGGGGGCAGCACGTAGTAAAGAAACCAATTCTTCAAATATAACGGGTGTCGTCCCAAAATAGCAGTTTACCCTATCTACAATCAACCCTGCCTAGCTTGGTCCGAACAAAAGCCACCACTGATGCGAATCACAGTTAAAACCCAACTACCGCTACCGTTTGAACCACCTCAAACTTCGTTCGTCTATCAAACACAATTTAACCGTGTAGTGTATTAAGCCAAAGATTGTTCTAAAGATACGACCAAAAAAAAAGGTTACCTAACTTGTTTGCACTGGTGGCCAAGTACACTTAAGACCCGGCTTATTTTTCTAACGTTAAGGAATGTTTCGATTTAAAAAGGTCTTTAAAGGCTAATACTACGGTAAAAAGATAAACTGATATAGAATACCGTAAGTATTAAGGAAAAAAAACACTGAACATGTTAGTAATGTCTTTTCCGGAGTCAGTCACATACACATATCATGTCTACAATATATATATATATATATATATATATATATATATATATATATATATATATATATATATATATATATATATATATATATATATATATATATGAAGATATAAATATATAATATATATATAAATACATTTACATATATATAAACAATATATATAGATAGTTAGATTTATATAGACAGAACGGGTAAAGATCCAGGGAGACATGACGACGTGACGTGTTGGAGGAGACCGAAACGATAGGCAAATGATGAGAGGGAGGGGGAGAACTGTGAGAGTGAGCAATATACCAAGGACGCACGTGAGGTACTTACAGTGTATACACAGTCCGGGTCTCACTAGTGATATATCCACAAATCTGTGGGGTATGCGCGGAGGGCCTGGTGGAAGAAATAATACAGTTTATCAGACATTTAGAGATAATTCAATACTTTATTCACACTAAACATGCGTATCCTAATATATAAATCCCCACGTTCGCACATCTCTCTCTCTCTCTCTCTCTCTCTCTCTGTCTGTCCGCAAAATATTTTCGCCGGACATCACGTCAGAATCGGCAGCGATATATGAAGAACTTTTTACGGACTTTTGTTGAAAATAATAAGTTAGATGTTTTAAATGTATAACCACAATTTTAGTTAAAGAAGAAAAATAAAAATTTAAGGCGTATTCGAATGTAGAGAAACAGTATTATTTATGCAACCGGAAAAGCATTAATATATGTGAAAATAACGCATACAACTGTGACGTCACTATTGCTTATACATTAACTAATGACGTCATCTGCCGTGTTTAGAATGAAAAGAAATGAACTATTTCATTCAAATTTGATTTAGATCTACGTACACTATGAAATGTATACAATACAATTTTTCCGGCCTAAACTCATAAAATTTATTTTATGTATTTGGATTCTAGATCTAGAGATTCTAGATCTAGACTAAATCTAAATCTAAATCTACGCAATAACTAGATCTAGACGTAGACGCTAAGATCTAGATTTAGACTCTAACTTCTCTAAAATCAATTCCAAAAATAAATTTCTATATTAGGACTAAACTATTTCAAGACTTATTTATTTTATACAAAATCTTTGTTTGGAACTGGCTAATTTGGGATAAAAAATTAATTTGAAAGAATAGGCATATTCGCGTAAGTTAAGATTTTAAAATACGTGTTTCATTCTCCGTATTTTATAAGGTGCCTAAATAGCGGAGATGTTAGTGTACATTAAACCACGCAGGTGGTGCGGGTTCGAGACACAGCAAGTCAACTTGGTTAATGTATTCTTTTTTATTATGCTCGGGCTAAACTTAAAAAAAAAATTCTTTTAGGAATCTAGATCTAGATCTAGATTGTCGGGTGTCCGATAGGGCACTTCCCGGCGCCGCAGGCGCTTCAAATTTGGCATGATCTTGCCTTGGTGCGACAGAACACGGGGGCCGGTTGGCCGAAAAGTCTACGATGTGGGGGTCAAAACTGACCTCGACTGACCGGTACCTTATATGAGCTATAAATCGAAAAAAAATGTCCACGGAGGAACCTCTTCATAACTCTTGAGGTCGTAGACCGACCTTCGGGCGAATTAATTAAGCATTCAAATTCTCAATGTTTTCGAAAGCCTAAGCGAAGCTGGGCAGCATGCCTAGTATATTATAAAAAGAAAATTGAATGATTGGGATGAAAAAAAAATTAAATTATTATAACAAAAAAAATTATGAATAATACTGCAAAAATAAACAGATGGAATAAATTGTATTGAAAACTAAATAAACTATATATACAAGCGTTTCTATAAATTATAATAATACTTAAATCAAATACAAAAATATTGTTTATAAAAAATAATACAGAAAAAAAGCCGTGTTGCCATATGATAACTTCCTGAAACTTAATGCATCTTTATATATATATATATATATATATATATATATATATATATATATATATATATATATATATATATATATATATATATATATATATATATATATATATATATATATATATATATATATATATATATATATTCTTTTTTTTTTTTTTTTTTTTTTTTACAAAACTCCTATTTAAGTATAACAACATTACTATAGTAACAAACTTCAAGACAATGTTGCACCTAAATATTGCAGTAAAAACATAGTCTTTCAACATGGTAACGTATGGTAGTTGGATGGTGACTTGTACTGTTGTTATTCATGTTGTGTCGGACACCTTTTATGCATTGATGTATGTAAGCCAACTTAAATTGTTAAGAACTATGTTTAACTAGTCTTTGTCACATTTTAAAATCAATTAATTGATAATTATATCATTCAAGCTAAGTTTAGACTGATTAATCGAACCATTTCATAAAATATTTATGAATTATGATACTATATATGAAAGACCTACACACAAACCCATATCCAAACAAAACGCGTTAATGTGTTTAATACTGCAGCAACTACACACCTCCCTCCCTACCACAAACATGCGAGTGTTAATGAAATCCTTAATTTAAATTACGCCTATTCTTTAAACACAGACAGGGCTGCGTGTGTGTGTGTGGGGGGAAGGGGGGGGGGGGGGAGAAGAAGGTGGTTTGGGGGTGGTGTGGTAAAAATAAAAAGGAAGTCAAGATGAGCGCATGACCAAAACGCTGACCTCAGCAAGTCCAGACTCAAAGATTGGGTATAAGGCTCTCGACAGTTATTTTACTAACTACTTCTTGGAATCGTGGTAAAAAAAATAATTAACGAACGCTAGAATAAAAGAAAATATTGATCTCTCTGTTAAAAATACAAATTGAAAACCACGCAGTAACGATAATTGAAAATGTTCAAGAGGTTTTTTGTCCGTCAAAACTAGCAGATTGTTAGATTAGTTTAAATGGTAAGGTTGATCTAGATCTAGATTCTAGATGGTAGGTTGATGCAGATGATAGGGTTGATCTATATGGTAGTGTTGATGCAGTTGGTACGGTTTATCTAGATGGTAGGGTTTATATAGATTGTGGGGATGGTTTGTGACAAAGGAATTAGATAAATGAAGTGATCTGTTTGAGCAAATTGCCGTTGGGTAAAGGGTCAGGCTGGTAATTGGAGCGTGTCTGATGACCTTTTCTTAACTAGGGCGTGACAGATTTTAGCATATCTCTCCTCAGCTGTAAAACGCTGAAAGCGATTGAACCGGTCAGGCTGTAATACCCCTAAAAGTGTGAAAATGGTCAAGATATAATACCCTTAAAACTGGTCAAGATATAATAACGCTAAAGTGTGAAAGAGGTCAACCTGTAATACCTCTATAAAAGTAATCAAGCTGCAATATCCCAAATAGCGAATGGCTAGCAAATTTACATTGGAATATAACTAAAGTTAGCTTTACACTAGCATGTATGTTCTGTGATTCATGTGTGACAAGTGTGACAAATTACGAAGCCTGTATTTATACATTATTAATTTAACAAAATTAAATAACTATTTAAAATTATACATACAAGTTCGCGACCACGAATTTAAGTCTCGCGAATGAGCTCGAACACCCGCCTTCGCCAAAACTTCAGAACAGAAATCCCACATCCAACCCATCAAACACCATAATTCTCCTTACACTAAAACACCTACCCCGGTTATCTCCCTCAAAACCTAGCAAGCGATTGGCTTAAGTCAAATATCGAGCAATCACACCACATTCAGGGAAACTGACACCGTGTTAAAAATAAACACCCAGTACTAACTAATCGACTAAGAGACCTATACTTAGACTTATTTTTTGTAGTGTCGAGGGACGTTGTTTATCAATGTGCAAGAAGTAAGTACAAGTACAGCTCATTGTCTAGACACCAGAGGGACACAGTTATGTGATGACCTGAGATAGACAATCTCGTTACAGGCCTCGTTTTTTTTTCTCTCTTACATTAGATGGGTTGATAGAGAAAAACAAAACAATGGACTAACTCCTACAAGATTAACCAATGGACTAACTCCTACAAGATTAACCAATGGACTAACTCCTACAAGATTAACCAATGGACTAACTCCTACAAGATTAACCAATGGACTAACTCCTACAAGATTAAATAATGGACTAACTCCTACAAGATTAACCAATGGACTAACTCCTACAACATTAACCAATGGACTAACTCCTACAAGATTAACCAATGGACTAACTCCTACAACATTAACCAATGGACTAACTCCTACAAGATTAAACAATGGACTAACTACCACAAGATTAACCAATGGACTAACTCCTACAAGATTAAATAATGGACTAACTCCTACAAGATTAAACAATGGACTAACTCCTACAAGATTAACCAATGGACTAACTACCACAAGATTAACCAATGGACTAACTCCTACAAGATTAACCAATATTCTTTCTATGTACAAACTTTCATTAGCTGCAATATTGTTTGTGTGTGTTATGTGTGCGTAACTATAATGAGGATGTACATACGGAGAGGTAGAGCTGCCCTTAAGGGCCTCAAACGAATAAGTCAAAGACTATAAGATTAAGGTTGCTGTTCATACAATTAGATTTCAAACGAAGTATAACAGTTTTAACTAAAAGGCACATACAATTGCCATTCGTTAAAAAGAAATTCTTGCTCGCAGACTAGAGAGGGTGCCAACCGTTTATTTACATTTCCCGTGACACTAAGGTAGGTAGCATCATCGGGGTCAACACAGGTTGGAATCAACACTTAAGAATATTGGCATTTAGAATGATTGGAAATGTTGGCCTGGCACGTGAGGCGAATGAGGGATAAAAGACATACAAAAAGTGAATATTGACAGGGAGAATGTGGAATAAAAGACACACAAAATGTGAGTATTGACTGGGGGAATGTGGGATAAAAGACATACAAAATGTGAATATTGACTGGGGGAATGTGGGATAAAAGACATACAAAAAGTGAATATTGACTGGAGGAATGTGTGATAAAAGACGTACAAAAAGTGAATATTGACTGGGGGAATGTGGGATAAAAGACATACAAAAATTGAATATTGACTGGCGGAATGTGTGATAAAATACCTAAAAGAAGTTGAAATAGAGTAAGCAAATATTTGAAAAAAAAATACCTAAAGAAAGTGTATACAGAATTGGGGAACGTGATGGCTACAAAATGTGTGAGTGCAAGATGCCTGCCTAATGTTTAGGATCCTATTGGCAACCGAAACGGTGTGTAAAGGGTGATTTCCTCGAGAAATTGTAGGGGACATTTTCTTCGAGGTATCGAGGTATTTTTTAAATTGTAGGGGACCTTCAGACTAACCATAACCGAATGCATCAGTCACCCATTTCACAAACAAGTACGTAAAACTGAATCGACCCGTCAAATTTTCAGTTACGACAATCTACTTTAAGCCTATTGCTTGCCAAAAAA